ACTTCTTTTGGTTTAGATTATTATTAATATGGAACTCAATATCATAAGTACATGTATATGTGTACAATATGATAAGGAAATTAATGTTCGCACTTCCAGTTTATATACCTAATTCTCAGGCCCCTAAATTTACACATCCCTATATATTACATATATATTAATTCTGCTTTTTGAAGATTAATTTTAAAATAAAATAAAAATTGCCCAAAGTAAAAAAAGAAAATTCTACAGTTTATCAAGCTCATAACCTAAATACTTCATTGTTCCATATGTGAAATACAAGAATGCTGTGCGAACGGTGTCATTTTAGTGATGTGTCTCGGGCCTTCGAATTTTCAGGTCGACCCTGATTAGTAAACATTTTTTTTAATCAATAATTAAGAAAATGTAAAGCAACCCCAATGCAAAGAATCGAGAAATTTAGGAATCAGGAGTAGTGAATCGAGTTTTTATACAAAAATAGCCAAAATTTAACCCTCAAATTCATAAATGTTAATTTTTTTAAAAACTTTCAAATATAGCCAAAAACCCCCTTAAATTGACCCAAATGCCCTATAAATTAAAACCTAACCAAAAAGCATGCTCTTCCAAGCCGTAAGCTACTGAGCACAAGCCTCACTCTCCACCAAGCCTACCCTCAAACACAAGGACACTGCCCCTCGCCAATCACCCTTAATGGAAAGCAAAGTTAATATAGGCAAGTTTGTGTTGTGGGAAGATAGTCTATGAACAACGAGGGCCTTGCAATTTTTCTAGACCTCTTGTGCTGAGGGAAGGCAGTAGCACATATGATGGTTTGCAAGAAAGTTTAACCCCCATATCATATGCAGACTAGCAGTATTTATGATACGAATTTTGCAAAAAAGTTCAACTTTTTTTCTCAATTAAAAATTATCATGTCAAGAAATTGACTTTAACTTTTTTTATTGTAAAAAACTCCCAAACCCACGAATCAAGCCATAGTAGCAGAGATGATTTTTATTGCTTGGATTTATGAAAACATCGGCTGTTACTTTTCTTCTTCTTTTTGGTAATTACATTGTCATTTTTATAATAGGATTCATAGGCATGATTAAGTTGACGAAGCCAATCTTGTTTTTGTGCTCATGTTATTTTGGGTTTTAGCTTTTAGGTGTAATTGAGTTATAATTTAGAGGGCATTTGGATCAATTTAAATGAGTTTTTGGCTATATTTGAAAGTATTTAAAAAAACTAACATTTATGAATTTGGGGGTTAAATTTGGGCTATTTTTGATAAAAACTCTAGTGAATCGGTATGAAAAGAATCATTCCAATTAAGTTGTTTACTAACCATATAAAATCAACACATGAATGGAATTGAATTCCATTGTTATTATTTACTAATTCTCATTAATCAGAACCTATACTAATCAACGTTACACTAATCCATTGTTAATTCATTTGTAAATCTACTACTAATATTGCTTGGTGATTTCCAAAAAAGTGTAAGTTATTTTAATAATAATGTTATAGATAAATGCATTATATACACACTGGTTCCTCCCACCTTCTCACGAGAATGACAAATACAAGGCAGAAATTTGCAACAGCTTTCAAGACATGAAGTTCTATTCGACGTGTTGAAGTTTCAAAATGTATCCTTTGTGATGATTGCCAATTGACCTTAATTTTGTCCCCTGTTACACGGTCAAAGGAAGGTTATTGAAACTTGATCTGTACCGTCAATTACAATGCATAGAATGAACGGACGGCATCAAACACACTTGGTGACAACATAAGGTTACTGAAACTTGATCTGTACCGTCAATTATAATGTATAAAATGAATGGACGGCATCTAACACACTTGATGACAACATAGGGATATGGGTCTTTGACTTTTAGTATGGCATATGGACAGCATTTTCCTTAGCTGGTAATTATGCTTTTAGAATGCCTTGCTATAAAAAGAGGTCATATATCTCATCTTCAATATCGCTCAAGTCATCACAACCAATTTTGCATATTAATCATTATATCCTTCCTGCTATTCTCCAAAAATGGTGAGTTTATCAGTCATATATTTGTTAGTACTTGTTTTTTGCTCAATTGTCTGCCTCAATGTTGTGTTCCATCATGTTATGAGTCTTCCCCTTAAGTTTTTTTTTTGACGGGTAGGGAATACTCGAGCCCGTATGTCCTTGTCACGAAAAAAATATTAGAGAAAACACATTTATATACCATCTTATAATTATTGGACTAACACATTTTTGTTTCAATTTTGCAACTGACAAATTTTTACTGGTTGCTTGTTTCTGTATGATTTGATGAGAAGCAGCCTCTTTCACTAACTATTGAGGTATAGCTATTCCCTTTAAAAAAAATTATTAATAATTTAATTTTATGGAAGTAAGACGTGTTTCAATTTTGATTCTAAGCTGTTGTATTAATTTGACCAGAAAGAATTTGCTCAAAACTCAGAAAGGGTTAAATCTGTGGATCAACATCCAACTGAGCCATGGTAATAATCTACCTCCTTGACAATTCTGTAATGCCTTCCGCATCTCCTATTTTCATATTCTTATCTTGTAATGATTTCCATGCAGGATTCTAGTAAGTTTGTATTCAGGAACTGTTTGTATCTGGAACTACCAGTCACAGGTGAGCCATTGTTACTTTCACCATTAATATCAAACTCCTAATTACCCGATTTGGGATTTTCGTGCCTTTCAATAAATCTTCCGGATGGGGCTAACTTAATTTACTGGTCCAGACCATGGAGAAGTCCTTCAAGGTCACTGAGTCACCAGGTACATGATTTTCTTTCATTTGTTCTTGATGTTGCCAACTGGTCATGAATTTGTATTTAACATCTATTTTTGCGTTTGCAGTGAGGTCAGCCAAGTTTGTAGCACGTGAAAACTGGATTGTAACGGCGGCTGATGACAAGTACATTCGCATATACAACTATAATACGATGGAAAAGATCAAAGAATATGAAGCACACACAGACTTTATCAGGAGTGTTGCTATCCATCCCACTCTACCATATCTGTTGTCATGTTCTGATGACAAGGTTATAAAGCTTTGGGATTGGGAGAAGGATTGGTCATGTACTCAGATCTTCGAGGGGCATTCGCACTATGTGATGCAAGTGGCATTTAATCCGAAAGACACCAATACTTTTGCTAGTGCATCACTTGATGGCACCATTAAGGTATTGAAGGCACTGTTAATTTGTTGCAAATTACTTAACTGCAATATTTCTGGTGTCATGACCTTTGTGACACTTAAATTTTTACAATGTCCTGTTTCATTGTAGATATGGAACATTGGTTCTCCTACAGCAGAGTTTACCTTAGATGGCCACTCAAAAGGAGTTAATTGCATTGATTACTTCAGTGGCGGGGATAAACCATATCTATTGAGTGGCTCTGATGACTTTACTGCTAAGGTTTGGGACCAAATGCTGGTTATCAGCAGCTCTATATGTACAGCGTACGATTATGATGCGTATGTGTGTCATACTAATTTGAATTTTATTTGTAAATTTTTTTGGCAACAGGTATGGGACATTGAAACCAAAAGTTGTGTGCAAACTCTAGAAGGTCATGAGCACAATGTAACAGCTGTATGTGTTCATGCTGAACTTCCCATAATAATTACAGTTTCTGAGGATGGGAACATTCACATATGGAATGCAACCACTTTTAGGTAACTTCTGATCCAAACTACTTACATTACAAATTAAATTGACTCAGTTTTCTGTTTAATTCTTGCTATTGCATTGCTTTGATGGAAATTCATGTTGTAAACGATTCTTGTTGTATCACAGGCTAGAGAACAAATTGAACTATGGTCTTGAAAGAGTATGGGCCATTGGACAGCTGAAAGGATCAAACAAGTAAGTTTCTTTTTTGTTCTTTCTTGTGGGTTAAGATGTGTATCTGAGAGGATGATTTTTCGAGTAACCGTTTGATATACAAGCATGTAAATGTGGCAAAGGACTCTCAATTTGTTGCCCTTAGCTTGTTAGGATTTGTTTTATTGCATTGTTTTACCAGCATATTTATCAAAATATGCTTTCCTTGCCTCCTACAGGGTTGCATTTGGTTTTGACAAAGGAACCATTGTGGTTAAAATGAATGGCTCTCATACTTGGGATTCTGTTGACCTCCAAGCTCAGAAGGAAAGGTTTGAAGGAATAAAGACATCGAATGCTGCGCGATTTGTACTGTGTTTCTCCAAAGTAATTAGACTAAAGGAATAATTAATTTCACTTAAAACTTGCTGTTCCTGCTATTACTGTTGTATGATTTGCAAAAAAAACTTATCTTTTTGTGTTTTGTAGTATATCCCATGAGGGAACATGTTGTAAGGATCAATCGAAATGGAATGTTATATGTGTTCTTTAACAAATTACACTGGTGCAGATAGATTCTGTGAAATACATATATAATTGCCAGTAATAAAACCCTTTATGTTCTTCCCAGAAAGTAGTTGGTGACTGCTGTTTACTGGTGCTGAATAAATTTGTTGAAAATAATAGAAATCTTGCCATACAAGCAAAAAGACAGAAGGCTAGACAGGACTGTAGGAAATTCCAACCTCAAATCCAAAGGGTCTCAACCAGAAGTTTTAACGACTGAGATTAGAACTCTCAAATGTATTAAAAGCAAGATCTGCATGAAAAACATACAAGAATTCTCTCTCTTGTCCACAACATATGTCAAGAGAGGACGCTTACCGTATGCTAAAGAGAACCAGAAATTGCCATTAATGAAAGCAGACCCTGGTATATTAAATGTCAATCTGTTCTCGCAATAAAATATATATATATATATATATATATATGTAGTTCATAATAAAATCTATGCATGAATTGGATTCATGGTCTAGCTTATTACTCAAGGATCTACAAATTAATTTCACCCTTTTTCTTTTCATGGCTAAGACTGAGGCCTATAAATTCAAGGATTGTTTCACCTTCTACATGCACCTCAAAATTTCAAGAAAGAAGTAAGGGATATAAAGAGCAATATGGAAGGAAAGGGTTCCAGGAGACTTGTGCAAGCAGTACTCATCGTCATGGCTCATGATGATGATCGTGTTTTCGGTGAGTCAAGTGCAGGCTCAGTTGATAACGTGCCTGCTCAAATGCATGCTCTTCTGTCATGGTGTTAAAGCCAGCACAATTTGTACCGGATTGTGTTTGAAAGCTTGTAAGAAGACGCTCCCAGACCCTCTCTACTACTGCAATATTCTTGGTTGCACAACTTCCATCTGCACCAACCTCAGCCCTGGTACGTTACAGGCATATCAAATACGATCACCTCAATATCCAAAATCACAAATGGGACATGAATTCCATATCCATCTTTTTTATTTTTGGGTGGAGATTATGTTGTTATTTATCCTGTGGATAAAATTAACGCTGATGTGCAAACATGTTTTTTTTTTTTTTTTTTTTTTTTTTTTTTCTTGTGTTCAAAGTGGATTCTTATGAAATTGCTTGATTTGTAACATGCAGAAAAGCTAGATGGTTGTGCGAATTTATGCTCAGAAAACTGCTGAGAAGTTTATGCTGCCAACTAGTATTTGTATAAGCATAATGAATAAAAGACTCAACTGGTATTTGTAATAGCAGACAATATATTGTTGAATAAGAAAATATTGAGAGGTTTCTAATTTAAATAAATCTATGATTGAGGTGGTTGTCGGGGCTGTCATTGAGGTAAGAAATCTATAATTTTCGTGTCATAAATTTCTTACCTTCATCATCTGAACGTGATATGAACTATCTACTTGCCCTCAATTTGAACCCTCTATCAACAATTGAACCAAATCCAAACCCATAAATCAAAACTTTTGAAGAACCCTAAGCCCAAAAATAATCCCCCAAAAGAATTCTTGGCAGACCCCTATAGATGGCAAGATTGGACCAAATTGCCTCTCCATGTGAGGTGCACATGTTCAATAACTATGGAAGTGAGAGAGTTTTGACAGAAATTAACGGTTGTCTTTGAATTGCTCGGAATTGGAAACTACAGAGACAAATTGATCAAATTGAAACAACATGTACCCAAAATGGTAAAGTGGCAAACTATAGAGAGAAAAAGTGCCTTACTAATAAGTAAATTATTGACGTATACATTGACACATTATTTGATGAGAAGAGAGGTTGACGGAAGAGGAAGAAAGATGGAAGATGGGGAAGAGAGGTTGACGGCTAGAGATGGTGCACATAGAAGGAATATCTTTTCAATACCTGTAATTTATATCTTTTTTTACTGGGTTAGACTTTTTGGGTGACGGGGCACACTTAGTTGGGATGGGTGATTTCAATGAAGTCCGGTGGCCAAAAGTCCAGCAGCTAATGGGCCGTATGCTTAATGAATTTTAATCCTTTTCCCATTTTCTAAACGGGATAACCGAGACCGTGAGCCCATATGTGCCAGCTTGGAATCCACGTCAACGCCACAGATGACATCACATTGTTCACATTTCACACCAAAAGAGCTACCAATCGACAAATCTCCACCGTTCATCAATCCACGTTCCAAGATCATCAGAAACTGTACGATCAGACACCAAGAACCGGCTTTGCCCCACCAGTGGCACTATCGTAAAATTACTCACTTAACAGCAACGCTTTGCTTGATCTCGTCGTATTTACAGAAAAAGAGCTCTCTCCACATGCGCACAAGACCAAAATCTCTCTCCCTCCCATCCCTCTCTTCTTCTTCCCTCTCTGTGCTCGGATCACCTGGATCGCTAGGGTTTCTCTGACTGTGATCTCGGCCGGAACTCTGCGAAAATGGTGAGTCTCTGATCTCTTCCGGCTTCCCTGAACGTTGTCACATTAGGCTGCATCTTAGATCTGATTCAAATCCGTTTTGATTTGGTGCCAATCCCTCATTGCTGGACTAAATGCATCAATTTCAGTGAGGGCGTTGCAATGTATTAGGCTTTGTTTGGTTGCTTGGAATTCGATGTTTTCTTAATTTCCATCTTATTTTTATTTCCTTTCTTCGCAACCAAACTGAGCATAACGTGAATTTCGTCGAGATCTTCTGTTCAATATGATCAAATTTCGATTCTCAGTTATCTACTTTCTCTATCCAAAAAGAAATCCTAGTAAATAAATTAATTTAAGATTTGGTGTATCAATTTGGCACTGATTGGTTTTCTTTGCTTTTTCAATGCATTAACAGCCTCTCAGACTGGAAATCAAGGTGCGTTTTATTGAATTCCTTTAATCTATCTTCTCTGTGTGGATCGGATCTCGATCTTAATAGTTATATCCTGAATTGTGTGACAAGTAGTCTAATTCTAATCTTCTGGTTCAGAGAAAACTTGCTCAAAGATCAGAGAGAGTAAAATCTGTGGATCTACATCCAACAGAGCCATGGTAAATGCATTACCTTCATTTCACTAGTCTTGCTCATTAGTATTCTGTTAAAATTGTTCATAAAAATGTAATTTGAGCAATGCCATGCATCCCAGCTCCTCTTCCTGATGTCTGTCATATTTCTTTTTTCTTTGTAAACCTTTTAATTTGGGAATGCGCTTGCTACTAGCATCCTAGAATTTGGTGAAATGATAAGCTATGCAATTGATGGTTGGTTATTGATGTAGCAGTGTCAGACAAAGGATATGGCTGCATTTTGCAGGAGGCAGCACCCATGGGATGGGGTGACATGGCTGCAATAGGGATTCTTATTCTTTTTTTTGTTTTTTCAAATTTCAAGCTTTGTCTTATTAGGTAATTGTATAAAAAGACTAATTATAGTAAAAAATTGCATTAGAAGTGGGTGAAAGCACTTTGGTTCTCTTGCCACTTAGTTAGGATAGGATCCAAGTTGTTTTGGTGCAACTGTATTTTTTGTGTTTTACCACATATTTTTAGTAACAATGAGATTGTATCTCTGAAATGATGGAGAAAACTTGATGAATTACTAATTTGTTGAATGACACTTTACTGCAGGATTTTGGCGAGTTTATATTCAGGAACTGTGTGTATTTGGAACTACCAGACACAGGTATGATCTATATAATACTACAAGTAGCATTTCCACAATCAAGTAGTACTGAAATCATTTCTGAAAATGGAGTGAAATATATGGTGCCTTTTGATAAAAGCCATCTTTGCTGTTTGGATATCAAGTAATTGAATGATGATCATGATGACTCTTTTTATATTGTTATAACTATGATCCATTGCTAACTACATGCAAAATTTGATCTTAACATTTACTGGCATGTGCAACTATCTTAAGAGGCATTGTTGCACTATGACAATTGAACTCTGTGGACTGTATGGCTAGCTTCATTTGTTAAGACATGATAAAAACAAGTCTTTTGGTCCTAAGTGTGATTGCTAGAAGTGAAGTGATGGAACTTGTACAACCAGAAGATAATGTATGAGGTTTTTTGCTAAATTTAAGCCACTGTACTGAAGCCTTGATCACTTTAGATACAAAGAGGACCTCACTTGTACCAAATTTATTAACTGATTAGATGAACCAAACCCTAACTAAGGGCGAGGAAGCAATTAGTGATTTACTGATTGACTGTCCAAAGACAGGATTTGTGTACAATGGAATTCTTTTTTTCTCTTTCTGATCAGATGTACTCTTAGACATTGAGCATAGATGGCTACTGTCAATTTATGCTTATGTTGATCATTTGACAAATCTTCTCTCTAAATACATAACTTATATTTTAATTTTATTTCGAAAAATTCTTTTTGACACCCAGTAGAGTGGATGTTCAACTCATAGAATGCTTTGATTGGCATAAATAATACAAATATACAAAATAATAACATTTTCTAATATAGCTTTTTAACCCTGAGTGATGATAAGACTGGGTTTGTCATTGTTCTTCTCTTCGGCTGGTTGTCTTTCGGTCTGCTGAATCCTTACAGTTAACTTCTGATGCATCTCATAACAAGTATGGTTTTGTACAGTATATTTTATGCTATCATGCTATCAAAGAAAAACAAATATTTGGTGTTCCTTCCTCTGAGAGTTGTCTTAAACTTATAGCTAGCTTTGAAATTTTAGGTTCTTTAAATGGTTAGGTAAGCATATGCTAACTTGAATCTTCTTGTTACTGTTTCAGACCATGGCTAAGTCTTTTGAGGTCACAGAGTTACCAGGTATTTTATGAGATGCTACTTTACCTGTTTGCATTTCTTTTATGCGTGATAGACATTTCTTTCTGGCATTTTCCCCAATAAGATAATTATCATGCTTTAATGTCTAAGTCATTGGCCTGCAGTTAGGTCAGCCAATTTATCGCACGCAAGCAATGGGTTGTTGCTGGAGCTGATGACATGTTCATTCGTGTATACAATTACAATACAATGGATAAAGTTAAAGTATTTGAGGCACATACAGACTACATTAGGTGTGTTGCTGTCCATCCAACACTCCCATATGTGCTGTCATCATCTGATGATATGCTTATCAAGCTCTGGGATTGGGACAAGGGTTGGGTTTGCACGCAGATATTTGAAGGACATTCCCATTATGTCATGCAAGTGACATTTAATCCAAAAGATACCAACACATTCGCAAGTGCATCACTTGATCGCACCATAAAGGTATACATGGCATGTTCTGGGGGATTTCTTGCATACAACACTTTTTGTGTAATGGTGCTAACTATGCTACTGGTTTTTTGTTTTTCCCCAGATTTGGAATCTAGGTTCCCCAGACCCAAATTTTACATTGGATGCCCATCAGAAAGGAGTAAATTGTGTTGATTACTTTACGGGTGGTGATAAGCCTTATCTAATTACTGGTTCTGATGATCACACTGCTAAGGTCTCCCTTAAGTTATCCTTTTTCTTCAATTTTTTATTTATTATATATCTGTGGTGATTTGGAAAAATTCACGCATAATCCTGTACGAGCAGGTGTGGGACTATCAAACCAAAGTTGTGTCCAGACACTTGACGGCCATACACACAATGTTTCTGCTGTATGTTTTCATCCTGAACTTCCTATAATAATAACAGGGTCTGAGGATGGAACATTCGAATATGGCATTCAACTACTTACAGGTAATTACTTTTGCTGTTTTCTGCATCTTCGTCCTAGGATGTTATATCTTTTGGGTAGTCGTTCATTTTTTTTTTTGGTTCCTTACAATTTTGTTTTTGAAATTTATTTTACTTTTAAATGTTATATTTTAGAATTATTTTCTCTATTTTCAAATCATCGAATATTGAGGCCTTGGATAATTGTGTGGGCATCTACAGGCTTGAGACAACATTGAATTATGGGCTTGAAAGAGTTTGGGCTATTGGATACATGAAGAGTTCAAGGCGGTGAGTTTTATAGTTCTCTTTGCACCTTAAACATTCTTTGCATTTCTCTATTCAATGCAATTTACCGATAGATATTAGAACTGTGTCAAGCTGTTCTAAATTCATAAATACATAACCTTCTTCTTGAAACTCTGTCAATTTACTGTGAAGTTTACAGAAAAAGAGAAAAGAATTCATATATATATATATATATATAGATTTGCTTGCATTCATGAAAAAAGTGCATCTTTTGTCTCCTTACAATTAAGTCTTAGGTTGTTAATTTCCTTGAGAATCAGACATCATGACAAGTTTGTGGGAAAATGGATTCAGTTAAGTTGTGGAGTATGTTTCAAAGCTGCATTTGTGATGCCCTATAAAAAAAGCTGTACCTAAGATGTTTTTCTTCTTCTCATCAACTTGTGCAGGGTTGTAATTGGGTATGATGAAGGAACCATTATGGTAAAACTTGGGCGTGAAGTACCTGTTGCAAGTATGGACAATAGTGGAAAGATCATTTGGGCTAAGCATAATGAAATTCAAACTGTGAACATTAAGAGTGTGGGAGCTGATTTTGAGGTATGAGCTCATTCAGATTGACTCATTTCCTTTGCCTAACTCCCCTTCCTCTTTGTTTGTTTACATCACTTGTTTTATGTTTGCTTTGCTACATAGGTTACCGATGGAGAGAGATTGCCTTTGGCCGTTAAGGAGTTGGGTACATGTGATCTTTACCCTCAGGTCTGGCTCTTTGATTCTTCTTTTTAATTATCCTCCAATTTGCTTCAGATAAAGTGATTTCATATTCTTGTTATAAGAGAAGTAAAGGTTTTTAGTAGTCAACGAGAAAGATTTGTGTTTAGCTGTGGATGGACACTTTGTAATTGAATTATTTGAGGAGTCCAAAGAATTTTATAGAGAAATGGGTCCTGGATCCACTAATATTTGTCTCTGGGATTTCATTTGCAGATTAAAAAGGCATTGAGGTGTAAAACATGTCCATAGGATGTAGACTTCTCTTTAATAAATTGTGTGGGTCTGCTATACATACATTGGCTGATATCTTCCTGATCAATTTTTGTTTACAGAGCTTAAAGCATAATCCCAATGGGAGGTTTGTTGTTGTTTGTGGAGATGGAGAGTACATTATATATACTGCTTTGGCCTGGAGAAATCGGTCATTTGGTTCTGCTTTGGAATTTGCTTGGTCATCTGATGGAGAATATGCTGTTAGAGAGAGCACATCTAAGATTAAGATTTTCACCAAAAACTTCCAGGTTTGTTTATTTTTTGGTTTATTGACCCCTACAGTATGTAGTCTTCATGGTAAAAGTCCAATACAGAACAAAAGTAGTTTCCTGCTGGAAATTGGTTTAATTTTTCTTAGTCTTATTTGTTAAAGGACAACATATTGGGGTTGGGTTCCTTTTTTTTTTCCATCTTTGTTATATCAAAATGTTCTGCTTGAATATATTAATGCTAGCTGTCAATTCTGTGCCACTTGAAATTTCTTTATACTGTTAATGTTACATTAATTTCAGCATCTTAGTTATAGTTCTTCTGGGGTTTTAGATCCATTACTAGATTCTAGGTGTTAAAAACTAACTGTTAGAGGACTTGAGTTTATTTTAATGGAAGTGTCATATTTCAGGAGAAGAGGAGTATTCGACCTACATTTTCGGTTGAACATATTCATGGGGGAACTTTATTGGCGATGTGCTCAAATGATTTCATATGCTTTTATGATTGGGCTGAATGCAGGTTGATTCGGCGAATTGATGTAAATGTGAAAGTGAGTCCCTAACTCCATCAAATAGCCTAATAATTGCTATTTTCATTTTTCTTTAATTCAAATTTCTTTTGAAAATGTCAGAATCTCTATTGGGCTGATAGTGGTGATTTAGTGGCTATTGCCAGTGACACATCGTTCTATATTCTGAAGTACAATGTAAGCATCTTCACTAGTTGGATTCTTCTTTCCCCTATTGTTTCTTAAGCTCTCATCATTCATCTTTATGTGATTTCATATGATAATGGTGCAGCGGGACATAGTCTCTTCTTATTTAGATAGTGGAAGACCTGTAGATGAACAAGGTGTTGAAGATGCATTTGAGCTTCTCCATGAAATGAATGAACGTGTCAGGACTGGTTTATGGGTTGGGGATTGTTTCATTTACAACAACTCCGCCTGGAGGCTTAATTACTGTGTTGGTGGCGAGGTATTGTGTACTGTTCATTTTGGGTCTGCAAATGTTAACAAGATTTTTTTATTTTCATATTTTTTCATAACATAAATATTGTTAAGATTAAGAGCTCCCGGTGTGAAAACAAAAAAGTATTTATATCCTCATAAGTTGCAAAGATTTAATATTTGCATCAAGGTGAATAAATTTTGACTCTTATTTTAGGTAACCACAATGTTCCATTTAGACCGACCAATGTACTTGTTGGGTTATCTTGCCAATCAAAGTCGGGTGTATCTGATAGACAAAGAGTTCAAGTAAGTGTACTTTTGGTTTGTGTTATTGGAAGTCATGACCGTTATCTTCATCATTTAGCAACTTAAATGTGTCTTTGTTTAATTTTACATTTGCAGTGTAATAGGGTACACACTACTTCTGAGTTTGATCGAATATAAGACTCTTGTGATGCGTGGAGACCTTGAAAGGGCGAATGAAGTTTTACCTTCAATTCCTAAAGAGCATCATAACAGGTACCTATTAGTTTCTGAATTTGGCATAATGAGATCAAATTGCCCTTTATTTCTGGTGTACTATAGTATATCTGGCTATTTCCACCCCCGTGTCCTATTTCCCCACCCACCTTATCTTCCCACCCACCATGTAAATTTGAAAATAGGACACGGGGGAAAGTGAGTCGACACACCGACGAGAAATTATTTCCCTAGGAGCATAAAGAATTTTACAAAACGGGTCACCTAGAAGCATATGGAAATAATTTCTTTATTAAATTCTTTACAGTTGTATAATTTTAATTTGAGGTTTCTAAATTGTCACTTGGTGCTTCTGATGCCACAAATTTGCCCTCCACCTGCTGCTAATGAATTTAATAGTAATATGCTTTGCTGATTTTTGGAAAAGTTCTTTATAGACAAATTTACCATATCTGTACTGTTTCTTTCCCTATGCTGATTATATTGGACTTCAATATACTTCCGTTGAATTTTTATTTATTTAGTTTCGAATTTAAATGCAAAAGTCTCATTTCAAATTGGAGATCTTAACATGGGTTTTTGGTCTAATGGTCCCTCAACTTTGACCTGATTCGCATTTGGTCCCTCAATTTCCGGTGTCAAAATCGTTCCCGTGGGTCCTTCAACCTGCCGTCAATTTTGTTATCTTTTATGTTAAATGCAGGGGCAAAATGGTATTTTTGTGATATTTTTAATTTCTGCACCCATTTTCTTCCTCCTCTCTCCACATCCATCCCTCTCCTCCATTCTTGTTTTTCAGTTCGTAAAAATTATGCAACTCCGTTACTCTCTCTCTTCAGTCACTCCTTCATCACCTATTGATTTCTCCCCTTTTTTTCCCTAATATATTTAAATTGAAGATGAAAAAGTGATAATGGAATGGCTCAATATGGAGAGAGATTCCTCAGATCTTTAGGAGAGAGGGTGACACCGGAAATTTTCTCCCCCAAACCACACTCCATGACAGATCCTGAACCCAACAGTGTCTCTCTCTCAGCCGCACTATTTCTAAATTTCCAAAATCCCCCAATACTAATAAAATTTGAAGGAAAAAAAAACGAAACAGATTCCTCAGATCTGACGTGGGATGCTGACTGCGGAACCCCTGTGATAGGGAGGTTTTTCTCCCAGGAGTGAATCAATTTCCGATTTTGACCCTCAACAGTACACCATGTGCCATGCACATGCTCAAATTTAGCAGAAAAATTTAACAAAAACTGACGGCAAGACCATTTGTCCTGACGAAACTAAAGTTGAAGGACCATGGGAACAATTTTGGAAATTGAGGTACCAAAATGCGAATCGGGTCAAAGTTCACGGACCATTGAACCTTAAAACCCCATATTATATAACATTTCTCTTTTAAGTTGAATATTGTATTCCATTCTGTTTTTCATTGGTCATAAATTGAAAAGTAATGTTTGATAAGTGAATGATTGCTTATATCCTAATGGATAATTTTCTGTACTTGTAGCGTGGCTCGTTTCTTGGAATCACGGGGTATGATAGAGGAAGCACTTGAAGTGGCCACAGATCCTGATTACAGATTTGAGCTAGCCATACAGCTTGGTAGATTAGAAATTGCAAAGGTAAGTACAAGGAGACAAACTAGCTTGGGAGGTTCTGTTTACTTGAGGATTTATATTTTTTGTGGTCTTATAATAAATGATGTGGTTATTTCCCAAGCATTCACTCACGTTGTTTCTCGCAGGAAATTGCCACAGAGGTGCAAAGTGAGTCTAAATGGAAGCAGTTAGGTGAATTAGCTATGTCTACTGGAAAGGTATGTTGTTTATTTATTCTCACTCACTTGATACGCATATTGAACCCTTACCCACAACCACATTTATCGTCCTGTTGATATTTCCCCTGGTATCTTTAACCATCGAATTGATTTCATCTCTTCGTCTATATTACATTGTTGCAGTTAGACATGGCTGAGGAATGTTTAAAGCATGCCATGGACCTGAGTGGTTTATTACTGCTCTATTCTTCTCTTGGGGATGCTGAAGGAATAGCAAAACTCGCAACCCTTGCTAAAGAACAAGGGAAGAACAATGTTGCATTCCTTTGTTTGTTCATGTTGGGTCGATTGGAAGAGTGCCTTGAGTTGCTGGTTGCAAGGTAATTCCCTATTTGTTTCATTGAAGTATGACTGCATGAATCATGCTTTTTAAAATTAATGATTAATGGAGCATCCTCTTTGCAGCAACCGGATACCTGAAGCTGCTTTGATGGCTCGATCTTATCTTCCAGGAAAGGTCTCAGAGATAGTAGCTATTTGGAGAAAAGACCTGAGCAAGGTGACATTTTAGGACATTTCTGTGCATGTCTTATTTTAGACACTCCGATCTCATGCCTGAATTTCTTATTTGGCTTAATTTGATGTAAGAAATTTAGAAATGACAACTTTGTATAGAAAACTCATAGCATTGTTTTGTTAGGTACAATAGTTATGATGGGCTGGTTGTCCATGTGGCAGTCTCATATTATCTGTTAGAGATATCACATATCATAGTCACGGTGGCATACAACTGAGGTTTTTTATATTTATTTATTTAGAATTTTGAACATTTCTATTGAAAATATATAGGCAACAATCTCTTTTATGTGTATATTCTTTGTAGGAAATTTCAGGTGGCAATTCTACTTTTCAAAGTTAAAGAAAAGTTCTCGACTCATTTTAAAACTCATATCTCTAGAAACTTTCACCAGAATCGGTTTTATTGTTTCCAGCTTTCGAAATTCATTTCCACAAACATCCATGTTGATTAACTTCCTCCATAGTGGATTTGTTGCATCTTTTGGCTTTGATTGATTTGTTATTCCTTGTTGTTCTGTATGTGTCTTTCACAGTATTCAGTTTTTCTACTGTGATTTCTTTACGATCCTTTCTGTTTTTGATATAGTGTGCCATTGTAAATAATGGAGTCACACGAATAGGCAATAATTTCATATAGTTATGCTGTTATGCTAGAGTATAATACATTGCATTGCTGCCCACCTCGGCTTGTGAAAGTCTTATCACAAACCTTTGAGAAAACTAACACTTCTGGGAAGATAGACTTTTGCTACTCTTATTAGAAGATACAACACACACGGAGAGGAAAACATGCATGCACAGATTCATAGTGCAATTATTTACGTATGCAAAAGCATTGGGTGCATATATGTGCATGCACTTATTTATCCTTTCCTGGTAATGTAGGAGCTTTTATTGTGATTCAATGTTTACCTGCAGGTTAATCCAAAAGCTGCTGAGTCTTTGGCTGATCCTGAAGAGTATCCTAATTTGTTTGACGATTGGCAAGTTGCTCTTTCTGTTGAATCTAGAGCTGCAGAGACAAGGTACCTCTGCACATTGTGTGTGTGTGTGTGTGTGTGTGTACATGTGTTGAATGTGTTCTTGCAAGCTGTAAACTACTATCATTTGACTTGGCACAAGTTTCTCGAGATCTTCCTATCAAATGTTCTCTTTTGGCTTAACAACTTTTCCCTCAGGATGTTAGTTGCTCTTAGTCATGGTTTATTATATCGACTTTGTATGGCTTTGTATTAACTGTTCTCTTTTGATTTTTTTTTTAGGGGTGTTTATCCTCCTGCAGAGGAGTATGTAAACCATGTTGATAAAGCACACATCACCCTTGTGGAGGCTTTCCGGAACCTGCAAGTGGATGAGGAGGAACCTCTTGAAAATGGGGAAGCAAATCATGAGGTATACAATGGATGCCAACTTTATTTTAGTTGGAGGTTTTCTTTCCCATAAACAATTTGTTTTGGCTGGTTGATATTTGCATGATAAGATATTCTGATTTCCTGCCTGTCTTCTAATGGATATTGTTTCTCTTTTATGCGGTCAACATGTTTGACTACTTTTTGTTAACCTCGTTTAATGTTTGTTCTGTATGATTGATACAAAGTCAGGTCTTCTAACTTCTAGATGTATTTGTGAAGCTGATGTTGTTTTTATTGATGTAAAGTGAAACCATATTATTGTTAACATTCTCTTTGCTTTTTATTTTATGAATTGGGTTTTAAACACTTGTGCTTCATTTGCCCTTTTGATCTGTTCCATCTATAGGTTTCTGAACAGAATGGGGAACAAACTGCCGAGGAACAGACTGCCGAGGAGCAGTATGGAGAAGAAGGGAGCCAGGAGGAGGCTGTTGTGGTGGATGCTGATTCTACGGATGGTGCTGTACTCATTAATGGTAACGAGGCTGACGAAGAGTGGGGTACGAATAATGAAGGAACCTCGTCAGCCTAAAAAGCTATTGGTTGGGCCAGTGTGAAAATCCAATTTTGTCTCTGGTGATTAATTGATTCTAAAGTGCCATCTCTGACTCCCATTCTGACAACTTTCTGATTTCACTACTTATAACACTCACTCTACTAACTTCTATTGGAGATTTTAAATAATTTTAATAAACATTGTGCATACAATATCTACTGCTAATGCTGATGAATGGGTGTTCCATCTATGGGAAATGCCTCAGCATTATATCAGTGAGCTGTGTTTATTTTTCTAGTTATGGTTATTGTTGCAATTAGTTTTTCCCTGTGGAATAACTGCAACCGAGTTTTGAACATTTGATTGCAAGCGGTGCCATAAAGTTTTTTGGGTTCTTAAGTAAGAAAAACTTAATGAAAAAGAAATGTCTGTCCTTTGTGTTTGGGGAAATACAAAGAGAAAGACTAGGAAACGAATCTAACATCTGAGTTGTTAGAGACCAAAAATTCCCCAATAAGCAGTAGGCACAACTGTGATCTACTACTTAAACCAAGAGACAAATTGGATTTTGTGGAGCCTTTTTTACTTTGTCATTGCTTTTGTGTAGCTTAGTTGTTTTCTATTGCTGTTTTGGCTTTCTGCTTGTTTGATTGCAGTATTGGCTTTCTGCTTGTTTGATTGCAGTATTGGCTTTCTTCTTGTTTGATTGCAGTATTGGCTTTCTTCGAAACATTCTTTTCTCATCCTTTCTGATAATTAACTTGTATATGCTGAAACTTGGTGGTTTTGCTTTTTGCAATCTGGTAGAACCATGTGAGGATTTTTGGTCTCTCTATTAGCTGTTATATGTTCTGAGGAGTTTAATAGTGGGAACGAAGGCATTTGTTTCTTTGCTTGTGTTTGCTTAGTTCTCTAGTCAGATTGTTTTTTTTTTGCATCCTAATCCTTTCATCTTTTACTGTTGGCAGTGCTTACACCACGTCACTAGGTCTGACGAAGACTGCTGGTCCAGCTGTATGGATCCTTTACAGAGGTAAGAAAAGATTCATTACTGGGACATGCAATCAGACGGTGTATAATCATAGTTTTCAATTCTCTGCTAGATGAACTCACTCTATGAACAGGCTAGGTCGGGCATATAACACAGACTGAATCTCACATTTTTGCATTTAAGAAGCCAGACACCCTGCACTTTTCTGTTCCAAAGTGAACATAAAAGTGCTATTTTGTAGGGGGGGATTAATTCATTACTGTCATTAATCAAGAAAAAAGTGTCTGAAAGATTGTTTTAAATTGTACATAGCAAATACGTGTTACAAAAATTGGCACTAAAATAACTTCAGATCTGGCATGACAAATAATTCATCTAAACCATTCTTATGGTCTTATGTCCTGTGTGCCCTACCCGTTTTTATTTCTGATGGGTAAGAATAAAACAGTTCCATTAGGTATATAAATATTATCATCTGTCATGATATAATTGCTTTTAGCAAACAGTTCCTTAAGGCTGACCGAATTCCAAGCAACTCTGTATTCATATGACAAAGCTGTTATGTTCAGCAATAATTGGTACTGGTGTCAATACCCGTCAATACCTTTATGGTCTATGGTCTCCTTTTTTTTTTTTGTTTTTTTCCCTCCCCCCCCCCATCTTGTTTTTTTTTTTTTTTTTTTTTTTTTTTTTTTTTTCCCCGCTGACAGGTCTCCTGCAAGAGGCTGCCAAAGAGGGATGTAACGGATCGGCTGTCTCTGATACCCGGTGGTGTGGCTTGTAACCAAGTTATAGTTTGTCATGGGGCACAACATATAGTTTGGTAGCTTTAGTTAGTTTGCTCTTTCAATTGCAGCTTTTAACATATTCTTTGAGGCCATCTTCCCATCATACAATTTTCTTGTCCCATTGTGAATGTAGAAAGAATTGAGCTTAGGGATGAGGTCCACCCCCTTTTCCATTCATCAAATTTTAGATATTTGGTTCCCCTCGACTCTTTTTGTGTGTTTTGGGAATTGAATTCTTTTATGTGACTGATTGTAAACGTGTATTATTCATAAAGAGTATATACATTTTTAGCATTACACCAACTTTGCCGCAACGTTGGTTAGCTTACCTACTTTTTGGTTGCCATAATAATCCCATGAACAAGAAGAAAAAAAAGAAAACGAAAGAACAAAATGATATTTGATTAAATTTTTTTTCCCTTAATCGTGTTTAAATTTCATGCACGTGGAGTGGACCCCATTAATTTGAAAGGTGCAACTGAACTTTTTACCAGCATTTTAAGCATCTAATCTTTATAGTTCACTTTCTTTGAAAATTGTCGGCGATTGTAGCATCTTGTTCCCCAAAGGTTCACTTTAAAAATAAATAAATAAATAAATCAAAGATCATCCAAATAAATAAACAAAAATTCAGTGCATGAATGATTCCAAATTAGGTGAATTTGAAATAACAATTTGGTTTTTCATCTGCGACGATTATTAATAGAAATTTAAAATAACTTCTTCACCTCCCTCATAATAGGCTTATCATTGCGATGTAGCTACCAAATTAGATAACTCCTAATTTTTTTTACTAATAACTTAGGTCCGATCTATATGTGTGAGGAAAAAGAAATTTGGCGTTCAAAAGTTTTCGTATAGGGTCATGTTAGGGACGTCACAGTATTAGACCACTTTGTAAATAGAATATAATAATAGTTTGAGAATTTTCGATTTTGGGGAAAAAAAAAAAAAAAAAAAAAAAAAAACTTGAGAGAGGACAAATTTTAGAGCTTCATTGACTTGACATGCTGATTCCGGGCCAGAATTTTCCGGAAGCCCAATTTCAATGGGTTTTCCGACCCTAAACGCCACGTGTCACAAAATGACCTAAATTACATGTAAATCCTATAAATCCATATGTAAGAAATTGTATCGTCGTTTTAATATCTGTACGCACACCATTAAAACCCCTTCATAGCTCAATCAAAAAGGGGAAGAAACCCTTAAACTCTTCCATATCCAAATCTTTACCAATCAATTTCTCAATTACATTCTACATACGCAACCCAAAACCCAAAAGATCACAATTTCAAAAAACCAGCCATTAATTTCTGGATCTCTCTCTAGGTTCTGCTTCTGCTGCCGCGTCTGCGCCTCTTTGCTTGTCGGTAAGTCCAAGCCCATTCTCCATTTCTCGTTTTCAATTTTTGTTTGAAACTCAGTCACTGAATAATATCTTGGGCTTCTGATATAGTTTCATATTTTCATGATATTTGGTTATATTTTATTTTATTTTGGTGGGTTATGCAACTTGTTTATCGTTTTCTGGGTTATGTTTTTTTTAGGTTGCTTGTGTTTTTCTTGATTTGGTTGAATAGTTTTTTCTTTGAATCATGATGACCCAGTTCGTTAGATTTTTCGGATTTTGCTGGGAAAGTAGGGTTTTAGCTGTTAACCCTCCTTTGGTGTCTGAGGAAATTAGTGAAAGATTAGAAAATCTGACGGAAAATAAAAGAGAAGTTTCAATCGTTGTTCATGGTATTCTGAAACACACTCAGCTGGTGCTATTGAACTTAGGGTTTTCTACAAACTCTTTTTTTTTAAAAAATTTTTTGGAACGACCCCATTAATTATTCATTTAAGCGCTGTAGATTCTTGTTATTAGTTCTACTCTTGACTTCTCCACTCCTAACAGTTAAGTACTGTATATTCTTTTATTAGCATTCTCTCACCCCTATTATATATTAATTTATTGATTTATTTGTGGTATTGGTTTTACAAAGTTTATGCTCTTTAGGTCTCCATAGTCATTTTTGCCTTGATGGTAATTTTTCTTTCTATTTTGAGAGGTGGGAGAGGGGGACTGTGTGTTCAATTGCCTTGATTTCTTTTTATAAAAAATTAGAGTTAAACATATCTAGGATTCGTATCTGACTTATGTTTTCTGGTGTACTTATTAACTTTCAATTTGCCTTTTCTGTTCTGTGTCTATGCATGTGATGAACAATAGTGGATAAGAAAATGCATTGTTTTGTACTTAGTTGTAATATTTTTAGTTAAATTTGTGGAAAAACTTATCACATTTTGTATAGTCCATTATGGGGGGAAATCAAGGTTTGATGTTTTGTAAGACAAATTTGGTCGACTTTTTAGGTGATATGGAATGTAACCTTTCCTTACACTTTTGGTCGGGGAGTTGGTTGTCCTTTTTTTTTTTTTTTTTTTTTTTTTTTTTTTTTTTTTTTTTTTTTTTTGTATTTCTGGTTGTATGTTTTGAAGATCTCTTCTGACTGACAGAGATAGACAGTAGCGGATTTTTTCATTAATAGTTCCTATTTAAGATTCTTTATTATGTGAAGGGTTCTTTGATTAGACCTGGCGTATTGCAATTCGTGGTTGTGTTAATCAGTGCTGTTTGTCCCTCGCATGGATTTGCCTATTAAGTTTTCTCTGCATTTGGTAGTAATAATAATCTGAGTTTAACATCCTTGTTTGTCTGATTAATAGTTCATATTTAAGATTCTTTATTATGTGAAGGGTTCTTTGATTAGACCTGGTGTATTGCAATTCGTGGTTGTGTTAATCAGTGCTGTTTGTCCCTCTAATGGATTTGCCTATTAAGTTTTCTCTGCATTTGGTAGTAATAACATCCTTGTTTGTCTGATTATCTTGGCTCTGCAAAAAAGTATAATTTTTGAATGATTTTCAGATATTGGCTTTCCAAACAGTTGAGGGACTGATTCTTTAATTTAACTCTCTCGGTTCATTTTTCAATGGCGGATTCGGAAAATGCCGTTCCACCTTCTAAGAAGCGAGCTGCTGGAAGGGAACTCTCTCGAGATAACCCAGGCCTTGATGACGAAGAAGATGCTCTTGAAGAAGAGACCGGAACTTTCAAGAGGGCCAGTGAGGAGGTGCTGGCAACCCGAAGAATTGTTAAGGTTCGCCGCCAGCAGCCAGCATCTGGTCCTACTTCCAATCCTTTTGCTGGTATACGGTTGGTTCCTCCAACAGAAGCAAGCACAGTCCCTGCTGAAGTTACAGCTGCTGCACAACCTGCCAGTGAGGTAAGGGTTTCAGATGAGGAGAATAAGCAGTCAGAAAGCAAGGTTGAGCAGGTTGGTGCTGAATCAGCTGCTGATAAGGAGAATGTTGTGAAGGAGAACACTGAAGTTTCAGGTGAAGCAACAGAACCTGAGGTTGTACATGAACCAGCTGTGGGAGAAAATAATACAAATGAGGGTGAGACTGAAAATGAGGAGAAGACTGAAAATGAAGATAACAAAGATAACAAAAACGAAAATGTAGATCCAAGTCCGGAAGGTACTTCTTTGAGCTCATTCCAACAGCTTTCGAGTAGTCAAAATGCCTTCACAAATCTTTCTGGAACTGGGTTTTCCACTTCCACCTTTTCTTTTGGGCTTATTTCAAAGGATGGTTCCACATTGGGTACTGGCTCTGGTTCACTCTTTGGATCAAATAATGATCAGCCTTCTGGTCTTGGTCTCTCGAATAATGGAAATTCTTCAAAATTTGGCACATCAGGGGCTCCAGTTGTACCTAAGAGTGATGGTGGTGGTTTCCCGCCAATGCAAGAGGTTGCGGTTGAGACTGGAGAAGAAAATGAGAAAGCGGTTTTCAATGCTGATGCTGCATTATTTGAATTTATTGATGGAGGCTGGAAAGAACGTGGTAAGGGAGATCTGAAGGTTAATGTATCTGAATCTGGGACTGAAAAGGCGAGACTTGTTATGAGACTCAAGGGAATTAGAAAGGTAATTCTGAATGCTAGTCTGTACCCAGACATGAAGCTGACAAATATGGAGAAGAAAGGTGTAACATTTGCCTGCATGAACAGCATCGACGAAAAGAAGGATGGGCTTTCCACCTTTGCTTTGAAATTCAAGGATGGTTCTATAGTTGAGGAATTTTGCACCGCTGTTACAGCACATAAAGATAAAGGTAAGGCATCGACGGCTATGAAGACTCCTGAAAATTCTCCCAAGGCTTCTGATGATTGAAATGGTGGCTCATGCCGATGCTCAGCAAGTTCTATTTCCTGTCGTAAGTTTGTTCCAGTTGCTGTCCTTTACCCTTTTGAGAAGAAAAGAAAGTCGTTTCAGAGTCCGGCAGTCCCTAAGCCCTTTTGTAGCAGAGTTATAGAGTCCTGTCCATTTTGTTGTAGTTTAATTTCAGCCTAGTCTTTGAAAACTCATTCGGGATCAAATCTTAGGTTCAGTCAAACTGCGTTAAGCTGTCTGGGATGTTGAATGCTTGACACAGTTTTATAGTTGGTTCCGTGATATGCGATATGTGTTAAACTGCTGGGTCAGTCGGATATTAAAAAATTTCATGGTTAGATTAATCATTAATATGAACTACTTGCCTCTCTGGGAAGTTAGCCCAGTTAATTTTGTTTATCTAATTTTTTATTTTTCTGGGTCAGACTCAGAGCCAGCATGGCTCACTTTTTCCTCTTTACAGGCAAATGAAATAGGTTGTTTTCTTGAATATGGCCAAAATATTAACTGAAAGCACCCTATTTTGTTGTAATTTTCTTTTTGGTCTGAAGACTATTTTCATAGGTCATATGTTTAATTTTATTTTAACGAGGAATTATGAATTTTATTTGAGACATCTTCTTAGATCTTGAAGAAAAATATTACTATTTAACTAAGATTCATTGGTTCTAATTTTCCTTGGGTGGATAGATTTTAACATTTGAAAATGGCATGTGTGTGTTTTTATTTTTTTTTATTTTTAGAAATGGAATTTATTCATAGAATCAAAGTAGCGTACAAAGAACAATATGAAACAATGGCATTGTTAAAATCTTCTCAAGGGACAAACCATAGGTTAGGAAAGAGTACCACACATTTCATGGACTAACAAGAGAGTTTGAAACAGTCATGCGAGACCAATGCTAGAGCAAGATAAAATAAAATAGCAAATTGACACATAGACCTCTGACGAGAACACTACAACACAATCCAATTGTCACAAGAGTCCTGCTACGAAATCATAATCATTTGCACAACCACAAGACATTGAGAGCATCCGACAAAGAACGCAATACGCCAAGAAGAAAGAAAACATCCACTAAGCACACCATCTTCGGCCACCTCCAATAGCAATTGGCGATGACAAAAGAGAAATATGCAAGAAACAACACAAAGAAGAGACTAACCCTACAAACAGGCCAGAAAAGAAAAGAAAAGAAAAAAGCCCCAAGCACGTCGTCTCATCTCAACACTAACAAAGAAACCTCCTATGAAAACATAGTCCTTGAGATAGGCGGAGAATCAAAGATCAACTAAAGGGAGAACGAAGAAAACACCACGGAAGAATAACAAAACCCATGAATATTTTGTAGTACCCATGAATATGCAACCAGGTGTACAAACACAGACACAAACACCAATCAGAGGAATAATATACTTTTACTATCATGATTACAGAACTTACATTTGACCAGGTGAACACGTAGGGAAGACACCATAGTATAATGGAAAGAATATCAAGTTGTAAGTAGAAGATTACCAGCATTGTATATTTTCTTATAAGAATATGAACCTTCTGTCTTGTCTGTTGTCTGGAAATTGCATTTAAAATTATGGAAAGTACTTTAGATTCTGTGGAGTTTTAACAAATGCAGTATGCGTGCCTTTGTGCTGCAACACAACACAAATTAGTCTTCCAAAAATAGTATCTAGGTTTACATTATTTTTGTATTAAAGGGGACAGGTGTTGTCAAGTCAGAGTCAATTAACTATATACTGGGCTCCAATCCTCACCTTTTTTCCGGCTAGGGATTTACAAATCTACTTTTAACGTAAGTGTTTGACTTGTACTTTTTTCCATGTTGAAGACTGTTCCCTAAAGGGGCTTGTGTATATTTTTATGCATGTATGCTCGTCTCAGATAACGTTTTGACAATTTTACTCCTACAGAAACAAGATGAATCTCTTTTGGAAGATGTCTGGACTCTTTTAAGAGCTGGAAGACTGGAAGAGGCATGTCACCTTTGCCGATCTGCAGGACAGGTAAGAGAAGTTCTGAAAATATGAGATTAATACTTTATTTTAGGTTTCGTGTTCCTGTCCTGATACATATTAACATTTTGGTAGCCATGGAGAGCTGCAACTTTGTGCGTATTTGGAGGACTTGATCAGTTTCCTTCAATTGAAGCCCTGGTGAAAAATGGAAAGGATAGAACTTTGCAAGCCATTGAGTTGGAAAGTGGCATTGGCCACCAATGGCATCTGTGGAAGTGGGCTTCTTATTGTGCATCAGAAGTAGGCTTCTTATTGAGTCACCTGGTTACAATTTAATGATAAATTGTAATTCTAAATTGTTCATGGGGACAAAATAGTCATGAAAATTGTGCATTGAATGTTGGCTCATTTTCCCAAACTTTTTCATGAGGAGGGAAAACAAAACCCAAGTTGAAAGGAGGGTTTCACTTTCCCCTCTACTTTCTCATGCGCCAGGCAACCATTTTCCATGCCTGGACTTACTAAACATGGGAAAGCAATTAAATTTCCATTCCCAAGCCTCCTTTCCCATGAACCAAACGGCGCTTTAAGGCCTAGGTTCGAGTCCGGATGGCGACAATTCCTCTTGGTAGGTAATTTGTAAAACCCAAAAAAATGAGAGAAGACTCTCCTCTGTAAGTCTTTTTTGGTATGTCCTAGCCCCTAGATGGTAGCCTCCCCCCCCCTTCTTTCTTTTTTTCTTTTTTTTTGTTTACTACTTTCACTCCCCCCACCACAAAAAAAAAGAAAAAAAAAAAAAAAAAAAAATATATAGAGAATGGTGAACAAAATGATAAGAATCTCAGCACATACTTCTCCCTTCCTCTCTTTCACCTCTTTCTCGTTGGAACCCACCCATTGTAAAATCTGAAGCAAATTTAAAATTGAACTAGGCATGTAGTTTTTATTTTATTATATTTTTTATGATCATGACAAAGTTTCGGTGGTTAGCTGGCAATCATCCCTTAATTGAATTGAAGAGAACTTGCTATGTGAGACCATATTGCATATGACTTCAATCAAAATATGAAGAAACTCTGTAACTAATTTTTTAGATAAATAATATTTTTCAAATTTGTTAGAGCCTCATTAGCGAGTTCAATTGTCACGTCCCCATTTTTCATTTGGACAAAAATTCAATGGATGTCCAAAGACCAGTTTGAGTGCAAAATAGAAATCCTCTTCCTCTAGAAATGTACTGCAAAATCCCAATGTTAATTTTCCATTTCTCTTGGCCACAACGTGGTAGACTTTTTAGCCGAACACAAAACCTTCGTTTAGTTACAATGGTGGGCTCTTTCTTTTGGGGTACAATGGCGGGCTTAAAGCCTATAACTAGCTCTATGTTGAAGCATAAAATTGAATAAAACGTCCCCATTCGAACCTTAGAGCATCTCCACCCACAAGGGCTAAGTCTAAGGCAAGGGCAAGCAAGGGCTGCCACTATTCACGTGAATAGTGTCAGCCTTGCCATTTGCAACTCCACCCATGAGGGCAAGGTCTAGGGCAAGTCAAAGGCAAATACTATTCATTGTACTTCATTTCCTATTTTTTTATACTTTAAACCATTAATTTTGATAATCTTTTGTAATTAAATTTTTGGATAAAAAAATATTGGATGTAGAAGAATTGAATGAAGATTTGGTGTGGAAAGTGAATAATGTGAGTGGAGACTAAAAAATATTGGATAAAGAAGAATTGTATGAAGATTTGGTGTGGAAAGAAAATAAAATGGTTAGGTATTTTATAGGGAAAAAATACAGAATTTTTTGGTATTTTTTTAAAAAAATTTCAGAATTTTTTCGAATTTTTTTGCAATTTTTTAAGCCAAAAAAACGAGGACCGTCGGATTTCTGGAAAAAAAAACGATCGGAGTGTCCCTGTCGCGACACGTGGCACAACAGTAAAAAAAATTTGAATTTCCGTGCGCTGATGTCAGCATGATGTCAGCGCTGATGTCACAAACTCGGGCTGAAGCCCAGGCAGAACTTGCCCTTGGGCCTGCCCGGGCTGGTGGGACCCAGGGCTTGCCCAGGCTGCAGTTGCTGCGCTGGAGTGCAAAACTGGGCTTTGGGGGGCCTTTTGCCCGGGTTACTTCATTGCGCTGGACATGCTCTTATGGAAAATGCATCAAAACTAGGGAAAAAAAAATATCTTAGCTAGAAAAGAATCCTTTCCTTGATTACCAAGGGAGAAATCTACCTGGAAATTTTTTTTACGAAGAATGCAAATTAACTTAAAAAGAAAAAGAAAAAAACCAAAGGGGTTCAATCCAGAAAAAATATAAATAATAATAAGAAACAGAGTTTTTCAACCCCTTCAAAATCACTTAGTAAAGAAAAAAAGATCTAAACTTATCCACGACATTTGACGTAAGTTCCATCTCAAACTTCACAAAGTACAACATATAACAAGTGCCCGTTTAACTTTACTTATTTTGAGCTATAATCACTTTCTTTTATAGTTTTGAATATCCATACATTTTGGTTAAGGAGAAAAAACCTGCTTTTTGGAGGAAATCGCTGCCACATACAGCAGTTTGGAGAAGTGGGTAACCGGTGTGGGTTAATGAATATTTTTATAATACCTATACTATCCTTATGTCTCTTTACAATTTACGTCACATATCCCTTCATTCCATTCAATCTTTAATTCACCCATTCTGTCCACTTCTTTTTTGTCTGTTAACTCGTTTATCATTCCACTCTATCTTCAATTATTAAATAAATAAATACCTTGGTGGGTGTGCTTTTTTTCACTCTTCAAGTACGTTTTGTACCTTTTTTTGCCGTAATTATTCTTGATGTTTATGTTTTTTTTATTCTTCTGAATTTTCTTGACTTTCTCCTCTGAATCGTTTTCTGGGGCATTTGGGTGAATGATATATGATTTGGAACATGGTACTTCAAAGACAAATAGTTTAGAGCATTAAAGGACAAATATTTAACTTTCAACATAATATTTTGTTTATTTTATGATCGAAACAATTTTTTGGGTGTGATGGTTAAGAAATATATTTGTCAAAAGCTAGGTGGAGTGCTAAACGGCTAGAAAAGGTGGCTGACTCATATCCACCCGAAGTGCTATATCCGACGTGTAAATAACGTATTGTGAATCAGCGGCAATTTGACAGCGAGAAACAAAGACGTTATTTCAATTATCGACAATTTTTTAATAAATGGGCCCCACCTGCTGCGTATAAAATAAAAATGACGTTTTCAAGGTTGCATATGGTTTTCTCTTACCATATTTTCATTGTTTTTCATTTATTCTTTAATAAAATAATAATTTTATTTAACGGTTCAAGTGGAGTAAGAAGTTGTCCATAATGTTAAATTACCACATAGGCCGTCAAATACAAATTTGATGTTTTTTATTTGACATTTCCCTTGGAGATGCTCTTAGAAACTTAATTTTGTACTAACATCAATTTTAGTATTCAGTTTACCAAAAGGCAAACTACTTTAATTCACAGCTGATTTTTCTTACAACAAATCTGAAATTAATTATATTTACAAAATAGCAATGCCAAACTGGCTCTAAGTGATGGATACTACTTGCCTCTACCTGTAAGGAGATATTGCTCCTTCCTGCGAATCACAATTTAACACATATGCAAAAATAATTCATTAAAAACACAAAAATAAAAATTTATGAACATATGTCACACTGCTATTGGTAGGAATTTAAGAGTTCATACTTACATGGTAAGGAGGGAAAGTATTTTCCATAAGTGATTTTACTAATAATAACATCAAGGCATTTCACCTTCCGAACTATATGCAAGTGATTAAGAGTAGTTAACTTCGCTTGTATAAAAAAAAAAAAGTAAAACTATATCGAGACCAAAAATGCAGTTCGGCCATTTCATTTTGGACTGAAACTTGTTCATGTTTTTATTTTTATGTTGATCTCGTTTATGTTTATGGCCATCTAGATAACACAGCATCGAATTATTTCTCATCACATACAGAGTAAAACATCATCTTACATTGTCGACCATTGAAACTTTCATTTCGACCTAACCAACAAATACTATAGGGAACTTCGGCATTGTCAATTATGTGGTCATAGTCTCCAACAACCAAAAATATATTGTCAATTATATGGTCATAGTCTTCAGAATTTGTATATTATATGGTCAAAGTTTTCAGTTGCGGAATACTACTTGCATCCTATTTACTCTACTGATTTAACAATATTCTTTTCCCTTCCTTTTACTTTCTAGAACGAGACGATTTATGGGAGTACATAAAGTAGTTGAGGTAAATTACTTGTGTACTGATTGAATTGATTTGTCAACTTGACAAATTACAAGATGCATAAGCAATTGCCACTTTGACAAAAGTAAAGACGATCCCCTTTTGGAATTCATGCATATTTATTAGCACTTTGACATAATACAATATTCATAAGAAATGAAAATGATATACAATATGAAAATATATAAATTTTTTGAACAGTTTCTTCAAGCACGTCATGGTGTGATTTCCACAGTTCGACGATGTTGCTTTCTTCATACCACTTTCACAAGCCAATTTGGTTTTCCATTAGAGAGTACAAGATATCCCACGGATATTCCAATTACCACACCAGATGCATACCCCATCAACACTACCTTCCAATCAAAACCATTCCCATGCTCCAAATCATCCTCTTGTTGGAATGACGGTGGCGGTGATTGATGTGCACTGCATGTTTTAGAAAGTGGCAATCCACACAATCCTGTATTTCCACTATATGAATCATTTTCAAATGTATCAAATTGCTTGCCATGAGGTATGGGCCCCGCAAGTTGATTTTTTGAAACATTGAACTTTGATAGTGACGTCAAATTTGTCAATTGCTCCGGAATATCACCAACAAGTTTGTTTGAAGACAGATCTAACCATTCAAGATTGCTCATTTCGCCAAATGATGGTGGAATTGTACCTGTAAGCTCATTATGAGAAAAGTTAAGCCCATTCAATGATTTAAGCTTACTAATTACACTTGAAATATCTCCTCTGAAAGTGTTGTTTGAGAAATCAATAGTTGTGAAGAACGTCAGGATCTTTTCCATTTCAAATTTGATGCCTTTAATTGTCACTACCACTGTATCCTGATAGTAGCCCTCTCCCATATATTTCAGTCCATGTTCTTGCGAGTTTATCATGGTCGTCAAATGTTCAAAATATTTTGTTGGCAATAGACCGCTAAACCGATTGTAAGAGAGGTCCATGATATGCAATCTTTGGAATGGAAACTTAGTATTCGGATTGCCTATGTCACCGTGGAATTTGTTAGACCTCAAGATG